CACACACACACACACACACACACACACACACACACACACACACACACACACACACACACACACACACACACACACACAGTGAATCACAGAGCAGGTTGTAGCTGGATGTTTTTTGTCAGTTCTTTTGTGCTTAAGCTTGTCTATTCCTTTATCTTGTAGCTGTTTAGGATCTGCTCCTGTACACACTTATTTTCTTTTGACCTCACTGTTCTATTCTTATTTAATTCCTTCAGCTTTTAGATGTTTTTCATGCTCGTTGATGCACGCTTTCTTGTTTTTCATGCTTCCCCAGACTTGTTTTGCTCTCTGTTGTGCTATGCCGCCCGGAAATAGATGCAGGTTGCATTTAAATATGAACGCAGCATGATGCTACGTAAATACAGAGCAAGGACGACAGGAGGGAAGGGCGAAGAGAGGAAGACAACAATAACAAACGAAAGGAAAGAAAGCGAATTGTTTTCTTGTCTTAATCCTGTGTTATTTCCCCTGGCAGCATACTATTGAGTAAGACGTCTGTGCTTCAGGTTAATTATTACTCGTGCAGGGAAAAACAAAAACCTTCATTACAAGTCTTCTTGGTTTGTCTTGATTATATACTTTTGGCGCATGTTGACTTCTACTAACGCGCCATCTTTCCTAACCTCTTTTTTTCTTTTCTCTCTGGGAGTTCTTAAACTTTCTCGCCCAGCATAATCGGTTATCTTGCCAAGTATTGGTTGTGCAGAGTGAAAAACAAGAGTCCTGCCACAGTGAACGATTGCACTATAATTGGAGTGAGCACAGGGCGATGATGAACAACCTTAATGACAGTCCTAATCTCAGTTTTTGTTGGCCCCGACTGCCGTTGGCTCTCACAGTCAGCAGCGTTGGAGCTAATTGCGCCATTAAAAATGCAGTAGCTTGAATGTGATCAGAAGGGCTTTAGTATGTGAGCTTGTTAGTTTGTCCCCGGAGTCGTCAGGGAGGTGTGATGAGCCGTCAACAGGTAAGAAAGACTTGAGGAGGCGGGCGGCCTTGTGAGGGTTTAATATATTTATTTATTTATTTTCGATTAGGTCATGACAGAAACTGGAACAACATGAAGAAGAAGCTTCTTTCAAGGCCGTTTCTCTCAAATGTTGCCTTTTTATTTTCTTAGTCTTTAAGTTTTTGACTGGTTTTAGTTTTCAATCTTTTATTCATCAACTTTTCTGGCATTGTCTTTTCATGTAGCTCGGCTATTGCTGGCTAAAAATATTTTGCCAAGCTCTAGGTCAGGGGTGTCAAACTCAAATACACAGTGGGCCAAAATTCAAAACTGGAACAAAGTCGCGGCCTAACATGAATATTTATTGAAATATATTTATTCCTCCAGATATGAGAATGAATCTTTTCTTATGGACTCAAACACGTTTTGCTGAAAAACTGAATATGGAACAAGCAAAGCTTAATACTAAACAATATATATATTAGCTGTGTAATACCAGTAGGCCAGCTCTAATAGTAATTTGGTATGGCTTCCCAAATGTAGGCCAGAGTTTGACACCTATGCTCTAGGTGTTTCGCATCAATCCTCTGATAATGTTCTGACTATGTTATCGTCATATTCTGTTGAGAAAATGTTTGACATGTCCCTGTCCATCTGCTGTGTTATTCTGGTTTTACTGCACTGTATGTGGCTGAATCTTAGGGGTCACCACAGTTTAGATCTCTTCCTGTCCTCTGCTTCTTCCTCATTTACACCACCCACCTGCGAGCCACGGCCACATCATAGTTTTCTTTGGCTTTACTTTGATCTGCTTGTTCTGCAGCTCTGTGTTAGTCCTTGTTTTAATATTTACCAAACCTCTTCTCTGCATAAGTCCAAGCCAGCACAATCTCACCTCTCTACTTTTCCCCTGAACTCTCTGATCCATGTTGCGTCTCTGTGATATGTTGAGTCCTAATAATCCATCTTTCCATCTGCCTCCAGCTCCGCCTCCTCTCTTTTCATCTGCAACATTATCTCCAACCTATATGCAGCGAGGGCTTAATGTAACTGAACAATGATTTTTGTGATGTAAACCACCACAGTGGGTTTAAACCAGTGCAGACTTTAAGCTTTAAATCAACTGATTTGACAAAAGTATCCCTGTTAACCTTTTCAGAATTACAGCCATTTTTATACATTGTCCTTCATTTTCAGAGGCTCAAAAGTAATTGGACGTGGCCGGATGTGGCCCGTTCTCTTCTTGTTTCATGACAAATCAGGTAGAGTAAAGATCTGGAGTTGTTTGCAAGTGTTGGTAGCTGTTCACCTTGATATCACTTGCTAGTCTCCAATTCTACAATCACAAGAGGCCTTCATGAGGATGCAATCACTTAAAAGAAGGCCAGTTTAGACTTTGCCAGCAAACATCTAAAAGAGTCTGACCAGCTCCGGAAATAACAAAAGTATTTGGGCAGATGAAACCAAGATGAACTTTTTCCAGAAGGATGGGAAGAAAAAGTTAATAAACTGAAGAAAACCACATCATCTGTCAAACATGGTAGAGGAAATGTTATAACTAGGGCATGTGTGACTTACAGTAGAACCGGGTGGTTATTTATTTATTTATTTAGTATTTACTGATGATATGACTGCTGATAGAAGCAGCAGGATGAATTATGAAGTGCAGTCTTGGATTTTTTATTTAAAATCCACTAGCAGTGCAATAAAGTGGCAAAATTACAAAATAGTGCCTTTGTACTCTTGCACTCTTCTCTCACTACAAATCACAAGCATCTATAAATATTACTGATGACGCTTCTCAGCGAGCAACACCGAAATGCAAACAGTGAAGTAAACATGCACAATTTGTTCGCTGTCGATCCAGCTGACCGATACCTGTCATAACTGCATTTATCCACAGAGATTGTTCGAGCCATGACCTATGTGATAAACCAAGGCATGGCCATGTACTGGGGGACGTCTCGGTGGACGGCCATGGAGATCATGGTAAGCAGCAAACAGCTTTGAGTATAAGAAATGAAGAAGAATGAAAATGTCCAAATAAATGTTTCCTTTACACATTTGGTAACCGACTACAGATTGTATATAAATGATGGATATAGTATCTGGCGTGAACAGTCAAGCCAATGCAGATGTGCCTTTCCAGTGTCCAGCATATTCACAGTGAAAATGAATGAGTAATTACAGAGCTGATGATTGGAGGGAAGTTGGGGGGAGAAAGTAGTGACTGTAAAAGACTGAGAGTGAAAAGAGGCTTTTTCAGTAAGTGGCACAGGCACAGCGGCTTCTTCTGGCTTTTGTTTTGTTTTCCTGTCAGAGATAATCCACTTCCTGTTTCAACCACTGGTGCATTAATGAATATATACATGAGGCAGAGAGTTATGAAGTGAACACATGCCTGAAGTGACACTCAAGGACGTAGCATCCATCCCCTCTTATCTCTCTTGGTCTCTTTATCACCCTCCTCCTCCCTCTAAGCACACTGCAATATGTTGACATTCCCCCTCTCTGGCTGTGAAAAAGAAGCAGATATCTTTATAAAGAACAGCAGGCCCAGATGAACACTGTGTAATTTAGATAGCATCGCTAATGAAGGTGGCTTTGATTCTCAGCAGTACAGCATGCACACGCAGTTACATGCATGGACGCGCACACAGGCTGGAGGCACATGTCATGGGTTGCAGCGCAGAAGGGCAACTGGTAATTTGTAAGTTGAGTGATGGCAGTGATATTATCCGTGCATCACACAGAATACACTCCCACTTCGACTGTGCTCTCATCCTGACATGTGTTGCACAGCAGGAAACCCACTAAATTAAAGGGTATTTAAAGAAGCAGCAATGGCGCTGTTTTTCTCTGAGTAGGTGTGTGTGTGTGTGACTCCTCTGGCATTTGCCTTTAAAGGATCCGTGGAGAAAATAGATAAGGAAATTTGAACATGGTGCCTCCGAGTTGTGATATGAAATATTGATTCGCTGACTTACTGAGAGGCATGCATTTGAATTTGTGCCACGCTCCCACAAGCTGATTAACAACCCCTCCCTCTGTCATTTCCTCCCCGAGTTTATCCCAAACCTCTGTGCTTACGTACCAAATAGCTATATAGCTATAAAATAACAATCTTTTGAACAATATATAAAAGTAAATCCACATGAAACATCGTGATGAGCATCTTTTCTCTGTCTTTATCTCTAGGAGGCTTACTCTGTGGCGAGACAGTTTAATCTGATCCCGCCAGTGTGCGAGCAGGCCGAGTATCATCTTTTCCAGAGAGAGAAAGTAGAAGTGCAACTGCCTGAACTTTACCATAAGATAGGCAAGTGTTTGACAACAGCTTGATCAGTCACATGCATCCTTGTGTCACTTCCCTATCCAGTCCATCCAACAACCTTTCTGACCAAGTTGCTCTCCTTCTCTGTTGCTCATTTCCACTGCGTTTTAATCACCCTCTCACGTTTTCACTTTTTCTGACGCTCTTCTCACACATTTCATCTCACTAAAACTCCTCTTCAACTCTCCTGCTGTGTCCATGGTTACAGGAGTCGGCGCGATGACGTGGTCACCGCTGGCATGCGGCATCATCACAGGAAAATATGAAAATGGCATTCCTGAGTCATCCAGGGCCTCCATGAAGGTAAGCGTGAGGGTTCGTCAAAACAAAGCGACGGTCAGAATCAGATTCAAAGCAGTGATTCATGACTTGCGCACTTCAGGTGGTGTCGATATCTAAGACGTGAGACAGATGAGATCTGGGGAGGGACAGATGAGATCTGGGGAAGGTTTATGGAGGTTTGATTTGAAACTTAAGGACGTGCGTGTGTAATGTTTTCGGTTTAGATGTAACCAGACAAAGTTGCTTCCGCTTGCATCTTCACCCTAAAGTTAGATATAGTCATGCTTTATTTTTCCAAGCTCATGTTTTGCATCTTTGAGTGCGTCTGTGTCCCTGACTTGAGTTGAACAAACAGATCAATACAGGTTGACTTTAATTAATTAAATAAATGATGAAATTAAGTCATGTCTGTAGCACTGTGACTACACCTCTGTGTGTCAATAATTTATTAATAATACATCCGCTCTGGAGTCTCCAGGCTCTCAGGCCTCACCCTGCATCTCTTCACTCATTCAGTCTGTGTCTTCTCTGTGCTGTCAGTCCTATCAGTGGTTGAAGGAGAAAATAATAAGTGAGGATGGAAGGAAGCAACAAGCCAAGCTGAAGGAGCTCAACCACATCGCAGAGAAGCTGGGATGTACCCTGCCTCAGCTGGCTGTGGGTAAGACTTCCCTGTCTTATAGCAAATACAGCAGAAGCAGCTTAAAGCAAAGCTTTTAAACCATAAATGCACAGACCTGTCAGACAGGAGCTGGTTTATGTAAGACGGGCACATTTTTCATCACCTTCGTTGCGCATTTGTTGTCTTTCGTGTTTGATATTTCCACCAGCTTCCAGTCTACACACCAACGCAAAACTTTTCTGATGCACTTGTGCTTGCACTGCATCCCTGTGGATGTTCAAATAGCTGGGTGTGTTGTGCACTCCCCATGTGATAAGTAGATGTCCAGGTTATGTGCAAGAGTGCTGGAACCTCTGGTTTGTTTAAAGACAATAATCAGAAAGTAATAATAAGACGTGTGCTGTTGAATAGTCACTGACTGAGTATCTTCTGCTTTTCTGCAGCTTGGTGTCTAAGAAATGAAGGGGTAAGCTCGGTCCTTCTGGGAACATCCAATCCTGAGCAGCTCACTGAAAACCTCGGGGCCATACAGGTCAGAACAAGGAGACACACATTGCTGTCACCTGTGTTTCTTCACCTGCATCCTCTGCTGTCTTCCACTTATAATGATTTCTAGATCAAAAAAGTTGTCCCAAGTCTGTACCTATAATGACTTCAGACTTTCTTTACATTATTCTGCATGTCTTCCTTCCTTCGCTCCTCTCAGGCTTACTCAGCACATCTCTTTCTTTCTTAGGTCCTTCCCAAGATGACCTCCCATGTGGTGTCAGAGATCGACCACATCCTAGGCAACAGACCGTACAGTAAGAAGGACTACCGCTCTTAGACCAGGCAGTTGGACTTCCAAGAGGTCAGCTGTACCTACCTACCTAACCATACTGCTACCTTGGACCCTCCATTCAGTGTTCATGTCCATGGTTCTCTCCTCGGGCCCCACTCAGCTCCAGCCCGCCTCAGCCTGGAACAGACGGCCTTGCTAAGTCCAGCGTTGCATACTGTACCTTTGTCTGTTTGAGCCTTGTCCTGATCAGATCAGCTCTACCAGGCTCATCTCAGGTGCCCAGCTCAGCTACGTCATGCTTGAGAAACTCAGCTTTTTGCAGCCTGAAACACAAAACATGATCCACTTCAGTAGTTCTAAACTTTGTGCTCCTCCCAAATCAAAGTGTTGCCACGTGCAGGTAGAACTATGCAGATCTTAGAGTAGAACATGTAAAAGTTTAGATTCAGGCTTATATTTGAGATCCCACCACATCCCAGTTCAGCTCCATCCAGGGATAGATATACAACTGACCTGATATTTGGATTAAAATGATATGAAACTACGACTGCAGCGCCTCATTTTTAAATTATATCCAACCTTACACTCACATCCAGTTAGCAGATAAACCAAAAGAAGCAAAGCGGGCGTATTTAAAGTGCCTTCCCGAAGGGTACCTTGATAGTAGCTGCTAAATGAGACGCCTGTGTTACTTATTTATTGGACTCAGGCCTTCAGGTCTCGAGCCCACCCATTAAAAGCCAAGACCTCCACTCACAAGTAACATAATTTGAGCACAAAATTCATATTGGGCCCATATTTTATTTATGAGTACCACTGTACCACAGCTGAATACATGAATGCAAGAAATCAGAGGTATCTCAGGAAAGTGGACAGTTGTATTCTGAACCCCACCCGCCCCCACCCCACTCAGTGCTTTCATTAAATCGCTATGCAGAGCAACACACAGAATTACCATAAGAGTGTAAAACTCCAACCTCCTGTGTTGGAGGTAAGCAGCAACCAGGTGACTTGCGCATAATACAGAGTTTTATTAACATGAATGAAGCCTCAACAGACCCGATCCCTATTAGCCTGAATTAGCTTTCAAATACCTACCAAGTATATTCTGTCCCGTATTTAGAATAGTTAAGTATTCAATGGATTATAAAGGCTGCAAATCGTGAGCGTATTTACCACCAGATGCATGTTTCCCTGCTATAGTGTGCCTCTTTCTTCTTTTCGACAAAGCACATAATTAAAGACTAGAAGAGGGTTTGATCAAAAAATCCTGCAAGCTTGTCCCCCCAGCCCCCCAGGTGTGACAGAGTACTGCGGGACTTTGAGTACTAGTACATATTGGACTCTGTTTGAGGAGAGAGTGAAGCATGTCGCCCCCGTGTGTTCCCTCTGAGGAACTGCTGAAGAATCCCACAGAAGAGAAATAAAGCGGACTGCTATTCTGCCTGTGAACTGAACCTGCATCGCTAGATCGCTCCAGCAAACCTTGAGGATTTTGGACTTAAGCTTACGATGAATCTATGAAATAAAAGATAAACTCGCCTCTGGTCTTGTCATGTTTAGAACGACTGCTTGTTTAAATGGCACAATGGGGCACAGACTCAAGGTATTTGGGATGTGGCAAAGATTACAGTATTTATTCTAGAGTAGTTAATATATATGAACTTTATTTTGACATTTTGAAATACTGCTTTTGTTTGAAGATGCTAAATGTACATAAGATGTTAAGAAATACTGTGTAACATAAGGAGAAACCCATCGAGGAGCCTCTCGTGCAGACGAGGACTTCACCGCAGTGTATGGCTCACACATAGCAGACGTGTAAATAGAGTCACTTTTCTGCTCCTCTGCAGTATCGCTGCATCAGTTGCAACGTTTAGGCCACTGTCCAGCCCGTCCTGCTCCTTCCATCCTGACAAAAATGTACTTTTGTCTCCTCAAAGACAAAGAAAGTCACAACTATTTATAAGGATTAAGATTTAAATTTGTATTTCTCTTTTGGATTCTGCGTCAATAAGAGAATCGTTCTAAAAATGAGCTTCTCTAATGAGACGTGACAAATGTGATTAAAGGCTTCTTAAAGGACTTGAAGGTGGATCGACCCTTCGGATTTCATGGCTGTCACCTTGATGCATTATTTTTGTTCTCTTTCATGTGGAAAACAAGCCATCTCTGAGATCAGCAGAAATGTTGGCCAGGTTCCGACTGAGTCACTTTCTTGTCCTTGGTGTGCATCTGTTGACTTGCACCACAAATACCACCTATGTATGGATCAATCAAGGGAAATCTCATTAGATTACAAGCACCTACAGTTATCCAGAGCACGCTGTTACCTGTTTTTGGATGAAACACTAACATCTCTTTGGCTCACAGCTTATTTAAGAAGTCTGGCCTTGGAGGAAAACTAGAGTTGGATCCAAAATGCCTTGAAATCAAGAAAAAACATCATATTTTGCTTATTTCTTATTCTCTATGTGGACACAGCACCATCTTTTCCTACGCAGAATTCACTTATTTGTAGCTTTTGGTGGCAAACACGTGCCACTGAGACACAAAGGGGTAAGTTTGTGTGCAAGTCAACAGCTTTCCCATCAGTTTGAGTCAGTCACTGTTGGACTGTGGCCACCTGGCAGAGTGCCTTGAATTCCTTCGACAGGAATAAATTCAGGGATGTCTTTCACTACGAGTTGGTAAATGGCGTTTGGCTTCTGGCCTACAAGATATGTAAGATTTTAAAACAAATGTATGCAGATGATATTATTTGATTGCCTAATCTGTCTCCTGTGTCACTTTAATAGAAAGTTGTAAGCATCAAGCACACACCGACAGTGTAGCTACAAAAAAGGAAAATGCTGTCTTTAAATTGTTATTATTCTCTATTGAATGATGCGCTTACTGAGCTCCATTGTGCTCCTTAATTTCCCGGGAGCGTTATATCACCGAACAGTGGAGCTGATTCTTTAAACTGGTAGCTTCTCCGTAAATGGGACTCGCTTTCAGAGGAATGCAAAACCTACATATTATCAGCTCCACAAACTTTGGGAACAAGCAGTGCAACAGTCCTACAGATATTAGGAAAAGTAATGCAAGATGGACATTAACCTTCTTGTTGTCTGAGAGAACAGTGACTTGTCTTCGTGGTCTTCTCAATTTCTTACAGACTTAGAAACAACTCTAAAATGCAACAAGCAAGTCATCTGTTGCTGTTTTTCAGCTTGTTGAAATCCTGTAATGTGCCACATCAACTGCTACCCAAGGTTTCTGGTTTTGGTTTGAGTCCTACCTGATAATCACATCTGAAAACTCAGAGGTCACTGATTCTACGTGTTGTTGGGTGGATGAAAAACACTTGAGAGACACTGACTTCGGTTCTTGTTGCGTCATTGTATTGTTTCCCCTCCTGATCAGTGGTTTCTCTGTAAATACTCTATGTGAAAGTGTGATTAGAAATAAAAGCATTGCCAATGGAAATGGTGTCTAAGCCAATCAATGGACCGTATAATTCAAACAGATTAATAATCACGCGAAATCCTGTTGTTGTTTTCTGAAATTAGCTGTAAAAAAGCAGACTGAACAACACACAAATCCAATGACACAGATGACAAGTAAACAGACTTGCTTTATTTGTTACAAAAACAACAGAAGACAGATCTGTAGAAACAACTCTGGAGATAATTTGATCACGACTTTCATGAAGATGAAATGTCATATTCCGCTTGTAAACCCTGTTCCTAACATGAGTGTACACTTCTTTAGCCCATTTCCTAACCTCCAGCCCAACCCCCACCCTTTCTTCCTTTACTTTGAGCCGGTGGAAAGCAAAGCAATGAGTCCTGAAGAGGCACTGATGGACAGAATGTAGTTGCTGGGAAAAGGTGGGTTAAGGTAAACACTGGTAAGAAAAGTTTGCAGATATGAAGCATACAGTGTTACTTTTGACAGGGAGTTTTCTTTAGTTTTAGTCATAATTTAAACATCAAATTTCTTTTAGTCAACTAAATATTGTAAGATTATCATAGACTAAAATATAAAGTATAAAAATGTCAGTTTGTAAAGTTGGGCGGGCAGACGGTGTGGACACTCAAAGTTGTAAATGTGGTAACTTAATGTAGGATTTTCAATCTTTAATGTTTCAACCTCTGACCTTAGTGCATGAGGAGTTTACTTCTGATGGGATCAATTCCAAACTCGTCCTGCCTTTCTGCACAACATGATTAATTCTCAAATCAAATCATTTTATTTGTTGAAAAAAGTGTCAGCACACTTCATCATAGGTTTTGCTCCTCGTGCATTCGTTTTAATAGTTATCGTCATTTACGATCACTGCGGCAAAACTAACACTGGTAGCATAAGCCTGAAATAATCAGTTTTCTATTAATCTGTTAAGATGTGTTAAAAGGATAAATCTGTCATACGTTTTCAACTTAAATATACTTGTGAACTATATACCACCACATACAGACGTGAAAGGATACACGGTGGGGTTGAAGTTCTTGAGCAGGAAGAAAGAGGCGATGATGACGAGAACCAGGAAGAGTGTGTTGTTGTAGAAGATGGAGAAGGTGGTGGCCTCGTAGTCGGCGACCTCGTTCTTCTTCCACAGAATTCTGGACAGGAGATAAAAACAAATGTCGTCCTTGTTGTCTACGTGTACCAGGTTAACGCAGACTTTGTTAGATACAGTGTGTGAACAGAAACAAGGTGGTTGATGTCAAACATAGACTTATACTCAATTTGTGCTCACTGGGTTGGTCCACTTAAATGCAAACAGCGACAATGCCACAGCTCCATCAGCATTTACACCAGCGCTGAGGGTGTGAGTACGCCCTGCTGTCTTCTCCTGAAGTGTCGCCACTCAGACAAAACCTTTTCCCAGAAAGTGTCTTCTTTTCATAGTGTTGGAACATCTCCCTCTATATAATCTCTGACTCTCTGATCCTCAGTACTGATTTATCATCATACTTTTGACTTTTGATGTACGGTGACGTTCACAAGGGCGAGACCAGTGAAGATAAATGGGTCATTAACGCGACCAGAAGAAACTGCACCTGAGTTTAGCACCTAACGCTGGCAGAAGAGGGTGTTGTTGTGGTTTGTTGACATGAGATTATAGTCTAACTATTATGAATATAATACAGACTAAAATACTGTAAACCTGTAAGCTCACGTATTAGTGATCTGTCCCATTCTCACCACAAAGGCTGACTGCTGCTTTCACACATTTATTACAGTTATAAAGACTTTCTGCCCGTGTAACTCATTTGCCAGAAAAAATAAAAGTTAAAGATAAAGTTGGTAAAGTTTATAATTTATGATTTCACTTTTAAGATTACTGACACAAACCAGAAATACTCACATCAGTCTGCAGCTTTCCCAGAGACAAAAAACGGTGTCGCACCACTGAATGAGGTACGTAAAACTGTATCAGTACAGGCTCAGAGTCGGATTTCTATATAACCTACTTCCACTTGGTTTGAAACACCACCTAAATTGGTGGCCCCTCCACACAGATAAGCAAACGCAAGTGTGTAGATGGCGTGTAGTTGCTGAATTTGAATTGGGCTTACGTGTGCACTACATTTTACCTCTCGTCTTTCTCCTTGCGGGACATCTTGCGGTTGTCAGCCTCAGACAACTTCCTGGTTACCTCCTTTGAAACAGCATCCTCACGTTTCTGTGCGACCCTGGAGTGTGATGAGTGGAAGATCACAAGCATTAAAACTTTAATCAAATTCAAAACACAACAGCAACTCACAGTAGATTCAGTTTCTAATAACAAGTAACAAAATCATTTCTGAACTCAGTCTGTTGATTCTTAATCTGTTTCAAAGTTTCCCCAATGAATAACATCACATCTGTCAATCAAGTTGATCGAATTAAAAAAGCTCTAACTCTACAGAGACAGTTTGATTCCCTATTTGTGTTCAAACTACTGATGATTATATGTTTGTGTCCACATGTAACTGAAGTTAAAAGGTATGAATAAAGTATAATATGAAGCCCATTTAACCAAGCAGCAACGCGTGTGTAGTGGATTTGTCCCTCTTACTTGTGTTTGAGCACAAACTTGACGTTCTTGTAGGCAAAAGCAACCAAGTAGGTGCTGACCAGGGTCATCACAGCATACAGAACTGCAGACTGGACCAGGTCCATATGCCAGATCCTCCAAAACAGCCCTAAAGAGAGGAAAAACAAGCACAAAAAGCTGCTCAAACTAATTATCTGAGACTGGAGTTTTTCAAGTAAAATCTCCCTATGCTTTTTTGTGTTTTGATTCATTTGTTACTGCACTTCGTATCACAGCGTTATTACGAGGTCACGTTAGCATTCCTGGTCAATATTATTAACTGTGCTTATGTGTTATATCTCTGAACATTACGTGAGCTTAAATATGTAAAGTAGCGGCTCTGAAAACCTCGTTTTTATGGACAGTTTCTCATTTTTCATCCTCCACTCACTCAGTGTTAGCTAAATTAGCGGTTAGCACCAGCTAGCTTCCTCAGCCTATGCTGTACTCACAGATGGGGATGGCAGAAACGATGAGTGCATTTCCGTAAAACAGAGCTGTGGACTTTGCCGACAAGTTTCTGCTGAAGTCCTGAAGGAGAAGATCTTCTTCTGACTGCTGCTTGTTGCTGGTTTTGGGAGCCATGAGTGCTCACTGAACGGCCTGCCTGCTGCTCAGCTCCGGGTAGAAGAAGACTGACACGTCGGTGAATGGAGAAGAAGAGGAGAAGAGAGACGCGTCAGCACTCCGGCTTCTTCTTCTTCTTCTTTGTTTGGATGACGACGGAGACGCTGTGGCTTTTTGCTGCCCTCCACAGGACGATAAGGACACAGCACTTGTGCCGTTGCACAATAGCCTACTTTAACGATATTTTTGTGCACCTTAATATAATGGGCATTTTGACATGAAGAATTAGGTAAACACGTCTGTTTCTGATCACATTAATGAGGGCTGTTTCATGTAGGACCACAAGCTAACTAAAGTGACTGTTAACAGGGTTATAGAGCTATCAGCTGCGGTGACCCTGTGACAAGGGAGCAACTGAAAGTGGCTATTAGCTGTAAAATTGTTTGATAAATCCTTAGAGATCAGTCAATAGGCCCCTGGTAACCATTGGTTCAAGGGAAAAGTGTGTATTTTATTACTAGTTGATAAGTTGATACTGTAGGCTGCCGGCAGTCGCTAGCATGAAATAGGTCAAAAAGAGACATACAGTGATATGTAGTGCTGCAATAGACACCCTGTGATTGCTTTGGTCACTAGCGGGTTGCTGTGGTCAGCAGTAAGCAGTTGGTATATAATTCTTGTTTTGTGTGCATATATAAACAAAACATCCATTTCGGTACCACTGTTTTTTGTTTGGTTTTTTTGCCTCATGACGCCGAGACAAATTTGTTTATACTTCGAATAAACGTAATTCTGATTGTGAATTTTTTGGTATGTGTGTCAATTCTGTGACAGTCATCATCAGTCAGCAAATAGCTGATTACAAAATAAAAGAATTAAGCTCTCCACCCTGTTACACCGCATCACAGTGCAGTCGCATCAACATGCCGTGCAGCACACTTTAATATAGTAACAGTTTGTTTTCTAACAGTAAACAAGTCAACAACCCTCTGCTTTAACTGCTTGTCCTACTTCTCATTTGCAGCATCTGTCATTTAGAAACAGATGCTATCACATCACCAATCTCATTTGTGATGACATGAAAGATAATTCTTGAACAATGTCATTCTAAAGCTCCAGTCAAGAGTTCAGCTGCTTGGAATATTTTTAAATTTCCCCACTAGAGGGCGATATCTATTGCTGTATCCTCCGTGTGTGTCATTTAAGGTGGCCAAATCTCCAGTCGTTGGTGTTACAGTTGATCTGCAGGTCTCAGATTACTGGGATTTTTATAAACACCCACAGAGAGTAAGACTGTGGCTCACAGTCGCTACGTTGCCAGACTATTTCTCACCCTTAAAAGTTGGCTAAAAATCAGATATTTCAGACTTTATGGAAAAGTACGAGCTGACACTTTTTGAAGGCAATGAGGATAAGTGGATTATAATGCCTTTAAAAGCACCACATCGCTTAAATTCTCAGTTTCCATGTATAGGTTAGTAAAATAGGCCTTCTCTTTACTCTGCAGGCATATTACTTCACCTCTTGCACATATTTGCAACTCCTCCTCTACACATATTTCTGACAAAGAGGCCATAGTCCATGCTGTTCACTTGAGTGTGACCATACAGTCACAGATGCACGGCACATTAGAACACCATGAGCCTTTAACCCCTCTCCTCTTTATCTCATCATCCAAGCCTGTCACTTCCCAGCCCCTGCAGACATTTTAGGACTGCAGAAAAAAAACGGACAGATAGTCTGCTGCTGCAGCCAGCACAGTGCTTAACCCCCCGCTGAGCTATTTTCTTTCTTTCTATGTGTTTGGACAGAGGAAACAGCACGCATCTTTGACTGA